TTCTTCTAAGTCTGCAAGAATGTTGTCCTTTAAGTCAATCTACAATTGGGAAATTGATTTAAATTTATAACATTCCGCATATATAGATATTGGGAAAGTAAATCATACTATAACGTCCTTATATTCATAAAATTCCACATACCTTTTTTTCCTCATACTCCTTCTGTGCGGCCCGTCGTTCGGTTTGATAGTCTTTTTCTACACACTCCTTTAAATATTCTCTGTGGATCTCATTGAGTCGCAGACGTTCTTTATACTGATATTCTAGCTTTTTGGAACGTTTCACGTAGTCGGGATGTACGAGTTGTTTCAGTTCTTCGCGTTGTTTGTTCAATATGGCTAATTTGTGCTGATACACTCTATACAAATGAATAAGGAGAAAACGCGATTTGTTAATATTTCGATTAGCTTATAAGTAGCACCCTTTATATTATGACTTACTGCTCTTTTAGTTCGTGATTGCTGCCTCCGTTTGTTGTGTTCGTAGCATTGCTGCTACGGCTGTTATTCCTAAATTCCGTTTCACTAGCGTCGTCTGTGTCTATAAAACATTTTAATTTTAGTTTATTCATTCAAAATATGGATAAATCATCTACTTACCCTCTTCACTGTCGTAGGCATTTTGATCGTAATGGTTGGACCTCGAATCGTCATTATCATCGTAGTTGTCGAAGAGTTGACTTGCGTATGCTTGGAATGGCATCTTTTATGCATTTATTCACTGCTTTTTTGAACCTCTATATTTTTGTTTTGCGGAAATCTTTAATACTGCATCAATGTCCCACAAAATAGAAAACAATAAAATTGCAAAACAACGCAAAAACTGGAAGAGGAAAAATATGTCAGGCTGAAAATCAGGATGTCAGTTCAAAATGGAATGTCAAACTTGCAGGAATTTTTCTGGAATGCACTACTGGAAATCATTGGAATGCATACCAGAAGTACAGGGTAATACAATGAATTATTATTGCATGGTTGCATTCGAGAGCACTAAAAAATTTCAACAAAGATGATGAGAAATAATCATGGTTGCATTTGATTGGAATTTGACACAAGGCGAATTTATTCAAGGTGGCGTTCAAGGCGAATCTATACAAGGTGGTGTTATCCAAGGCGAATTTATACAAGGTGGTGTTTCTGGCGAATTTAGATTACAACAATAACAACCACATGTATTTTGTATTGCGGGTGTTATGTCAAATCTCAATTCGCCCCCAAAATTTACATGTAGTTTGTTTTTGCCTTTGATGGGTGTGCTGTCAAATCAGTAAAAGCAAAAACAAAATACATGTAAGGCTAAGAAATCAGCTGATTTTACAACACCACCTTGCATAAATTCGCCTTGGTGTTATAGGATCGGCTGATTTCACGGCGAACTTTTACCTTTTTGTTGTAATTTTGTTTTATACTGATTGTCAATGTGCGTATAATTTGTTGTTGTAATTTTTCTTTTTGTTCTCTCAACACCACCTTGTATAAATTCGCCTTGGTGGTGTTACTACAATTCGCCGCGGTACTTTTGAATGTCAAAATAATGTGTTTGTTGTATTTTGGGGTATTTCTTGCCGGGACTGTGGGTATAATTTGTTGTTGTAATTTTTGTTAGTCCCCTTTCAGACACATCAAGTCTTGCTTACACGTCTGCTCTTTCGCGGGCGAAGAAGGTGAGAAGAGAGGGGAAGAGTACAGATACTTCCGTACCGTTAATTCGTTTAAAATTTTCTTGTTTCTTTAGATCTTTTCGTTGCTTCACATTTAAAAAACCAAAGACTAGAATTCAATTAAAGTTGACGCCTGTGGTAGCAAAGAGAAAGCACAAAAGAGAATGCGAAAAAAATTGCTTTAAACTTTCAACGATGGATTCTTAACGTTTTTCTGCAATTCGTTGGGCTACGATGGATTCTGTGATAGCCCTGATTTTCTGCATGCTCAACGGAATTTAAGCAAACACAGAAGCCAGCACTCATTACGGGACTTCAATACGAAGATATCCACTAGGTTCCCGAACAGAGAAGAATGGGTTGCAGGACTGCCAGTAGAAAAGGCACTGTGGGTTCAAAGATATCCTTTCGTCTACCGAACAACTACAGCGTCTTACAAGCGAAGATCCGCGCTATAGAAAGAGCGGCTAGTCTTTTACTTCACATTTGGGTTCACGCTTCTTCAACCAACTGGGCTAGGTAGCGGAGGTGAACTGTTGGATCTCTTCGGCTTCTTTAGGGATGGTAATTGGTTCAGTAGAATAATGAATTGAATTGACTCTTTCGATTATAGGCACGAGTGAAAGTATGGCATATTCCACACACACCCTTCTAACCTAACCTTATCTTCATGCCGTTTCCTAATTTCAAAATAAGTTTAAACCATTTGTTAATTTTTATTTTTTTCTTCGAATTTATTTCGCACTCCTTAGCTCAAGTACATTTTAATACTTTTCTTGCATTTTAGTTGCATTTAAATTTCTAATCATTTATTTCTAGCTTACAAATACAATACAAGACTTTTGTCGAAGAACGTTCATTGACAAATCAGTGCGGTTTCGTGCGCTTTAATTATTTTCAATTGCATTTATAGATTTATTTCTTTAGGCTTTATTTATGTTTATTAATTCTACTTAGCTTTTGAATCTCACTTAGTTTTACAATTTAACTGATCATTACATTTAGC